TTTCTTCTGACTTTGAGAAATTGGCTTTGCTTTTCTGGGCCTTAGTTTTCTCATCTGCAAAATGGGAATGGTAGTAGTGCCTGGTATACAACTGCCTGCCATTCGTTATCTTTCTTTGTGAATCAGAACATTTCCCCAGTATTTTTAAAAAATTTATCTTTATTTTGAAAGTATTACAGATGTCTGTTCCCCCCATTGATCCCCTCCGCCCCACATCCGCCCCACCCCCAGGCCTTCCCCATACTATTGTCTGTGTCCATGGGTTATGCATTTATGTGTTAAGTTCTTTGATTAATCTCCCCGCGCCCACTCCCCAGTCCTGCCTTCCCTCTGAGATTCCTGTCCGTTCCATGCTTTTATATCTGTTCCCCAATATTTTAGAGTTTGCCCTGGGCCAGACAACTTTGGGGAGCTTCTGGAGGGGAGTAGGCATCTGCCTCCAGAGTCAGCAGTCCATGCTATCCTAACCGGCAGCGGTGGGCCACAGGCGGCTATCTAAGTTGACTTAAACAAGCAGCACTAGTCACATTTCAAGTGCTCAATAGTCACATAAAGCTCACAGCTACCCCTTAGACAGGCAGCTCTAGAACAATCCGCTGTTACTGTTTAGCTGGTACTGGACTAAGTATAGCTGCACGCGCACACCTGCACATGTGAATTCTCAGGAATACTGCCCGTGAGGCTCCAGCCTTATTTGCTCTTATCCTCAGCTGGAGGCTGGGCACATCCAGGAATCGCTGCCCTTGGTTCTAGGTGCTTGTGCCATCTGGTTGGCAACCACTGGCTCCATGTGGCTGGTGAACACTTGAAATGTGCCCACTGGAACTGCAGGAATGGCATTTTTAATTGTACTTAACTTTGTTTAAATAGCCATCCGTGGCTGGTAGCTACGGTGCAGGGCCGCACAGTCCTGTGGAAGGAGAGGTTAAAGACGAACCCAGGATCTGTCAGGCCAGTGCCATGGAGAAGGGGAGCAGGATATTTGGTAGGGAGGCGCATATTCTAAAAGATCAGGCAGGTGGGCTGCGAGTAGGTAGAAAAAGGACACTCAGAGAGAGATCACTCCGTCCCTTCCATGTCCGTAGAACCTTTTAACTGAAATTTAAAATTAGTTGTGGTCATGTGACTTGATTTTATTTTACTTTTTATGTAAAAAATGTTAATGTTGACATTATTGCAGGAGTCCACCCCAACCCCCGTGGCTCAATTTTAAATATAAAATAATGTAGGCAACCCTCCCACTGGGTCTCCTAATGACTTACTGCCAGTGCTTCCCAAGAGGTAACCGTCAGTTTCTTAGTATCTTTCCAACAGTTAAGCAAATTCAAATGCCACCCCTAACAGGGACACAGTTACACACTCTTTTTGCTTCCTGAAGCCATTTTTAAGCAAAAGGATTCAGGTTTAAGTTTTCAGACATTCCAAGAAAACAGCTGGAATGTGAACCCAGACCTGACTCCACTTTCTACCATGGGATAGCAGCACTGTCCATGGGATTAGATTGTATCCCGCTGCCAAGGCTGGCTTCTGGGTACCGCCAACTTGCTTTCTGCTACGTAGTGCAGAGGGCTGTTATCAGGTAACACCCAAAAATGTTCACAGTAGGTGGTATGTCCCCATTTCACACACAGGGACACAGGCTTGCAAGAAGCGGTTCATGCCCAGGGCTGTCCAATTGCAAAGTTTTAGCTGGAATAATGTTTCCCTCCCTCTAGACAGAAAATTTCCTACAGATCATGGCGACGTGGAGCCAACCCCTGGACTTCCAGCCAGGGGAGGTAGGTTTCTGGGTCCTCCAGGGGGGAGGGGACAGGCTCGGGGTAAGGGGCACATCCTCCTGTCCCTCACAACCAGGTGCTGGCAGTACCAGGTAAACCAGGTCTCCTTTGATGAACAGGCTGACCAGGCCTCCTGGGGACCACCCAGCCCCGAGGCTCCCCAGCACCCAGTGGTCAAGCCCCCGCAGCCCTCCGCTCTTAAGGAGCCAAACTTCGAAGACATCATGGCCACAAGGTCATCTGAATGGCTCCAGCAGCCCTCTGGAGTGGACAACTCCCCAGTTCACCAGCTAGACACGCGGCCATCCTGGGACTCTGAGCCCCAGTTTTGGCAGGATGTTCTGACCCAGCAACTCTGGCAGATCTTTGCTGGGACCCACGATAAGGTGGACCAACCGAGACACAGGCGTGAGTCTCCCTGAGGCTGGGAAGTGGGTGGCCTCAGACTGTGTGGAGGAAGCACAGACTGAACCTTATCTTTCTACTCTCTCTCTATCACGTTCCTCCCTTTCCATGGTTATAGTGACAGATGAGATGCCAGACCTGGTAAGTAAATAGGTTGGGTGGTTATCCTGGCTGGGCCCCCAGGTGGGAGCATTCAAGTTCCTTTGGGACTGGTCCACCTCCTCCACCCTCAGCCCTTTCATGCCCTTCAAGGAGTCAGGAGTCTGCCCCAAGACTGTCTGCCTGGGTGGGAGGACTGGGGCAGTTTCCTAGTCCCATCCTCACTGCCTGGGCCTCCCGAAGGTTTTCTGGTTCTAAGATCAATCCTGGGCAGGTCCTCTGGTCTGACCAGATTGCCCTGTTTCTTGCTGGCAGGAAAGCCAGGACCCCGGACCATTCTACTTTGGAGCAGAACCCCGTACTCAAGATGTATTGGGTAATTTCAGTGGGAGGGGGCAGGCGGTCTCTTCTAGGGGGGCCACGACTGCTGGTAATCTGCTCTTGTCTCAGCCAAGTTCTCAGCCCACCAGTGCCCTTCCACATCTCCCCTGCAGGTTCCCAAGAAGGGAGCACAAGGCCAGGCATGGCACCAGGCGTGATGCTGTCCCGTGTGGCCCAGGTGAGATCAGGCCTGAGTTGGCCTTCCCCCTCCCCCCACTGAAAGTCCGGGGTCTGGGGCAGGGAAAGCCAACATGGCTTAGCTTTGATCTTTTCCACCCGCAGGAGCCTGCTAGGAGAACCTGTTCCTTTCTGAAGCCCATGTGAGTGTTGGAGCTGCCCCTCCAATCTAACTCTGCCCCAGGAGGCAGAGGGGACCAGAGGTATAGGCATGTCCTCCCCGTCCCCATCACCATGGTGCTGCCCTCAGTAACTGGAGAGGAGCGGTCTTGATAGGGATGTGCAACTCGAGTTCTTTTCATACCAGCGTCCCTGCCCCTACCCACATAACCAGCCTGGGTTCAAAGGATTTGGGAAAGCAACTCCCATGGAATGGAGAGGGAGAGGGGCTCTTAGAGCTGGATGCAAACAGTTCCAACCTTATGAGGAGTTTTCCAGGATGGGGCAAATCAGTTCAGGCAGAAGGGGACAGTGCTTGGTTATGGGACAGGGACAATACTTGGAGGGATGTGGGTAGGAGATTGGGGAAAGAAGGCCTGAGAGAAAATCCCCACATCTGAGAAAGAACAAAGCCCCTCTAGGGCTTGATGGGTGCCTCCCTTTGGCCAGAGGGGCTCACAGGCAGGCTGGTGACCCCAAGGTCTCCCCTCCTAAGATGCTGGGACCCTGAGGACTTCGAAGACACGTGGAAGAGGCCAGATGCCTTGCCCAGGCAACCCAAGAAGTTGGCCATCCCACACAGAATGAAAAAGATGCGGACACTAAAACACGGGGAGGCGGTGCTGGCCACAGCAGTGAGCAGCTTCATGCGGCATGCGTTCACCTGCAGCAGGAGTGGCGTCAAGGTGTGGAGCCTGGTCGGCCAGGTGGTAGAGGACAGATTCCCTGTCAGCCACCTGCGTGTACAGGTGAGAGGGGCTGGTTCCAGGCGGCGGGGCTTGTGGGAGCAGGAAGAGCTACCTGAAGGAGAGGAAGCTCACCTGTGCCTCTGCCTATCCCAGACCCAGGGGGCCTACCTGCGCACCTGCCTACTGTTCTCTAACAGCACTACTCTGCTGACGGGCGGCCACAACTTGACCAGTGTGAGTGTTTGGGACCTGATGGCACCCTCCCTGCACATAAGAGATGAGCTACCCTCTGCAGGTCTCACATGCCAGGCCCTGGCTGCCAAGCTGGAGGACAGCCTGGCCTTTGCCGGCTTCATCGATGGCACCATCAGGATCTGGGACTTGCGGGACCAGAGTGTGGTCAGGTGCGGCCCCAAGGTGGGAGGGGTCACCCTGAGGGCCCCTTCTGACCTCATCTGCTGAGCAGGGATTCAGCAGTTCAAAGTTAAAGCCCCTTGCCTGCTTGAACTCAGATCTGAGAGAGTTGAAGACCAGGGTCCGAATCTTGGCTGGGTTGTTTTTCTCCAAGCCCAGTCCTGGTACTTTCTGTTTACCTCAGTTTCCCCATCTGTCAACTGGGGGTGGTTGGGTGGGTAATGTTCCTTCGGCCCAAAGCTTAGAGTCTCAGCTCCAACCCGCTTCTGCTGCCTCTCCTGGCCAGGGACCTGCCAGGCCCCCCGAATGGAGCCAAGAGCATTGTTGTCAAAGACCAGAACATCTGGACTGGGGGTCTGGATGCCTGCCTGCAGTGCTGGGATCTGAGGACCATCAGGGAGCCCCAGGAATACCAATTTGAGTCTCAGGTGTGCAGGCTGGGATGGGGCTTGTTTGGCCAGGTAGCAGCTGGGTCTCAGGCTAGAGAAGGAGGTAGACCCTTTGAGGTACGATGCTGGGAGGAATAAAGACTATTAGAAATATTCTTTCCTGTTGCCCAAATAGCATTGGATACTTTCATAGTCATTGTGATAATTCCATAAAGTAGAGAGGATCAATCCATTCTACAGATGAGCAAACTAAGGCCTGGAGATGTGAAGTTGCTTGTTGGGGCCTTGCAATCGGGAAATGGGCAAATGGTCAGCCCCTAGGGTGCGTCCCTGTGCTCCTGCCCACCTCCTGGGCCAGGCAGGCCCCTGACCAGGTTCCTTCCTGCACCTGCCCCCAGATAATAAGCCTGTCTGCCAACCCCTGGGAGGACTGGGTTCTGGTAGGCACAGCCAATGGCCAGCAGTGGCTGCAGCCCACCTGCGGGGGCCAGAAACGCATGGTGGGATGTAAGGACAGCACCATCCTTGGTCTCAAGTTCTCCCCTCTCGGTAAGTGGCCAGGAGTGAGTGGGGGAGTACTCTGTGGCCCCCCGCCTCCCACAGGGCCCCACCCCACTCAGACTGACTGGGCCCAACCCTCTCTGACCCTCCCTGAGCCCCTTCCTCCCCTTCACCCTTCATTAGCAGGACCCTCTCTGTGATGCTATCCTTGGGGACATGTGGCAGGTGGGGGTTACCTCCATTTCCCAGATCCCCAGGGGTACGACCCTCAGCTTCCAGCTTTGACTTGGTGGCCCTCTGCATCCTTCCAGGCCAGTGGTGGGTGAGCGTTGGGATGGACAACCTGGTCAGCATTTACAGCATGCCCACAGGAACCATGGTGTTCCAGGTACCAGGGTGGGCTGGGGATGGGGCAGGCAGTGCTTAGGTATCCTGGGCACTCAGGGGCTTAGCCAAGGAGTCCCCATGCAAATGCCCCATAGGGAACACATCTGAACTGACAGGCACAGATAGGGGCAAAGGTAAGTGAGCCTCCCTCGCTGTGCTCCCCAACCCCCCCAGGTACCAGAGACCACCTCTGTCAGGTGCTGTGATGTGTCCTCTAACAACCGCCTGATCGTCACAGGGTCCAGGGACCATGCCTCAGTGTACCAGATCACATACTAAGGGGCTCACTGTCATCTCAACTCGGGGTTCTTTTCCCCCCTAGTGGTGGAGGTGGAGGGGAATGATGGGTGGGCCAGTGATCTTTGTCATGTGTAATAAAGCAATGGGAAAAAGCAGAGCTGATCTGGTTCTGTGTCTTGAACCCTTGGCCATCTTGTGAAGGTTTGGAAGGGCTTTGTCCAGCCTGGGTCTCTGAGCCTTTTGAGTCCACATTCTCTGAGAATCTGATCAAAGCCACTAACCCTCATTGTGGGGGGTGGATGTGGGGCACTTCCTCCTGCTCCCAAGCTAATCTCTCCTCATCTCATGGAGAAAAATTTTTCTGTGACTTCCTTCACAATTCCAGGGATGGGGTTCTCGGTCCTCTGCAAGACATCCTGTCTGGCCAGACCAGAGCTTCTCACCCTCTCAGTAGGACTCCGATATCACCATTTGCTCACCTGTCCTTCCAGTCCACGGGAACTTCCAGAACCCAGATCTGATTGTGTCACCAGCCCTACCAGCCCTGCCCTCCTCTGGCTCCTACTTCAGTGGCTTTCTCTGCTTAAGCCTGATCTGGAGACCTATCTTCCCTTATAGCTGAGGAAGAACCCTACCCCTGCCCTGCTGGTTTTCACCAGGCCAAGCTCCTTACCTCAGAGTCTTTGCACATGCTGTTCCCTTTGTCTTTGTGACCCTTCTGAACCACTGTTTCTCTTCCTTTAGCTCTTGGCTTAGCTGTCACCTCCTCTGAGACTGGGACTTTTGCTGTGATGACAGTGGGCCAGGCATTGTGTGCCAGGCACTTAGGAGTTATCTCTGGGTCTCAAAGGAAACATGACTGCACCCCAAATAGCCACATGCTCCACTGTAAACCTCAACCCTTTGTAAATGGGCAATGTCTTGGGATGATTTTGTCCAAAGAGCTTGGCACTAAAAGTGATACGTGAAACTTGGACCAGAGATTTAAAAGCCATGTATGACCCATCTTCCTGCTATGTTGGACCCTGAAGTTACATATTGAGGTGATGAAACCTTCACTAGCCTAGAGCCCTGAGTGTCTACCTGAAGTCAAGTCCCACATGCCACATGGGCTTGCCTGAGAAATAAATGTCTATTGTATTCAGCCACTGGGACCCAGGGGCTATTTGTTACATGGAAGACTTAAGCCACAACTGACCTTCCTTCAATAATAGTTGCCCAAGAAAAGCAACACTGCCCAGTGGAGCCCAGTTCCCCAGTCCAAGACAGAAAGCAATTGTGATAAATACATTTATTTCCCCAAAGTCCCTCTGCCCAACTGGCCCCACATCCAGCAGGGAAAGATGTGAGAGGGTTGGCCAGAGAGCAGATGAGATTTGGCTCCCACAGGTACAACTAGAGAGGGGGGTGTTGGGGTCTCTGTTTTGCACGCCCTTCCCACAGGAGTAGGGCCAGGGGTACAGGAGGGGGGTTCTCTCAGTAGACCACCTCATACACAGTGGCCTTCTTGTCCCCTGAGCCCGTCACAATGTACTTGTTATTCCCGGAGATGTCACAGCTCAGCACGGAGGACGATTCCTTGGACTGTAGAAGGAAGGAGAGAAGGCAGGTAAGGGGTGGCTGGCGCTGGCACAGGCTGGTGCAAGCTCCTAACCACCTGCATGATGTTCAGAGGGAAGAAGCAAGGTGACTAGGGCCACTGCTGGCCTCTAAGGATGAGCCTATAGTCAAGGTGGGGCCAACACAGGACTCAAGATAGAAGAACCCAGAGTGGGAGCCAGGAACAAGGAGGCAACACATGTTCCAGAGAAAGTTCCTTTCTGGACAGGTGATGATGCTCTTGGGAAGCGCGGGACCTCTTATCTGGACACGAAGAGAGATGGAAGCGTAACACCGCCCTTCCCCAGGAAACTCAGAATGTGCACCAGGAGACCCACAGCACAGCGGAGGGCTAAGCTTAGGGCATGATGACCTACAGCAGGGCTCGACAGCCTTTCTGTTAAGGACACAACAGTAAATTTTCAGGCTTTGCCTAAAGTTGAAATAAGTCATTAGCCATTAAGTCCAGAGGCTAAATAAATCAATCTCACATATTCTTTTACAATCCTTTAAAAATGTAAAAACCACTCCACACCCACTAAGATGGCCATAATACAAAAGGCACAATAGCCTTAGCTGGAGTGGCTCAGCTGGTTGAGTGTCGTCTGGTGCACTGAAAGGCTGCCAGTCAGATTCCCGGTTTGGATCTCAGTCGGGGGGTGTACTGAGGATCCACTGAGCAGTGTTTCTCTCCCTCCCTCCCCCCTCCCAAGCATGTCCTCAGGTGAGGGTTTAAAAAAAAAGACACAATAACAAGTGTTGCTGACGATGGGGGAGAATTTTGAACACTCCTATGCTGCTGATGGGAATGGAAAATATGGAAAACAGTCTGGTAATTCCAACAAAGATTAAATTATAAGCAGTTCCACTCTTAGGTATATGCCCAGAAGAAATGAAAATGTATCTATACAAAAACAGGTACAGTATATGAATGTTCACAGCAACATGATTCAAAATCACCAAAAGGTGAAAACAACCAAGTGTCCATCAACAGATGAATGGACAAAGTGTGGACCATCCACACAGCCTTAAAAAGGAAATTAGACACCTGCTACAAAGCAGATAAACCTTGAGGACACTGTGCTCAGTGAAATAAACCAGACACAAAAGGTTAAATACTGTGTGATTCCACTCACAGGAAGTCCCTAAAGGAGTCAGATTCATAGAGAAAGAAGGAATAGATGGTGGGGGGAGGGAGGGGAAACTAGGGCAGTGAAAGGGGTTGTTAGTGTTTAATGGGAATAGAATGTCAGTTTGGGAAGATGAGAAAGTTCTGGAGATCGATGGTGGTGATGGTTGCACAGCAGTGTGAAAATACTTAATGCCACTGAACTGTGCACTTAAAAATGGTTAAGATGGCAAATTTTGTTATATTTTACCACAATTAAAAGGCAAACAGGCTGTGCACCCATGTGCCAACTCAGCTTTAGTAGCTACCGGCAGATGAGAGCCTTGGAGGACCCTAGGAGAGGCTCCTGTTTCACCACCAGTGTAACCACCCTGGGGCCCTGGGCACATGGCATCCTGCCAGGGGCAGGGCTCCAGACTGCCACACACCTGGAAAATGCTGGCACCATACGGTGTCCTCCAGGCATTGAGCAGGTTGTCCTTCCCGGTGCTCACGAACCACCGACCTGGGGGAAAGAGCAGGTAGGGTTGGAGGAGAGGGGGACTAAAAGCCTGGGGTTGTGGGCTGCTGGCAGAGGTGGGACAGACAGGTCTGGCCTCTCCCTTTAGGGCACCTCTGCCCTCATTTGGGGGACACAAGCCCCCTTAGGGAACTGAGGCTTGATCCTTCCATTTTTCAGAAGGTAAAGTCAAGGCCCCAGGGCTCCACCTGATCTTCAAGAAGGGGGTGCCCCCAGGAGAGGGCTGGCCAGATAAAATGCACAGTGCCCAGTCCCATGTGAATCTCAAGGAACCATAGGTATCTTTAGTACAGAGGGTTCCAAGTATTTCTTCCTCTTCCTCTTCTTTTTTTAGTACATGTACGTTCCAGGCCATATTTAGGACATACTTATACTAAAAAAAAAGAAGAAAAAAGATAGTTTTTTTAGCATAAGTAAAGCCCATGCAATATTTGGGATCTATTTGTACAAAAAAGATTAATTACTTTTTAGTATAAGTATGTCCCATGCATTATTTGGGACATTCTTACCCTAACAAATGATTTGTTGTTGATCTAAGATTCAAATATAACTGTGTTTTGTTTTGTTTTGTTGATGTGGGGGGTGTCGTTTTGTATTTTGGCAACCCTGGCCCAATGCCCTGGAGTCCCACCCCAGTCCCAGACAGACACACCGCAGGAAGCAAATTTCAGGGACAGCACACAGCTCTCATGAAGGTGCAGCTGGTATTTCTCCGGCTTGCGGACGTGCAAGATCTCAACATTACTGCTCTCCATGCCAACGGCCAGCCAGTCCTGGTTGGGGCAGTGGCCCAGGGAAAAAATCTGGGGGTGAAGAGGGAAGAGGTGGGGTCAAAACCCCTTGGGATGGAGGGAGATGCCCAGAAGAAGGGGGTTGGGGGAGGGGAGAAGTCCAACGCTCTCCCACAGTGGCCCCTGCATGGAGAGGCAGCTGGCCCAGGGCCTGGAAGCAGCAGGCAACTGCATGTCAAATCATTAATATTAATCAGCATTACACAGAACCCCGGGGCCTCACATCCATTATCTGCTTTGAACGCACAACAGCTCTGGGAGGGAGGAAAAGAGGGGGTGGTGGGTGAAGCTGGGAGAGGACAGTCGCTCCCCTTGAGCAGATGGTGGAAGGGAAGCTGAGGCCAAGTCTGGCTCAAAGTCACGCAGCAAGTCCAGCTAGTCTGTGAAGGACCAGGCCTTCCTACTCCCAGCTTGGAACTTTCCCTATGTGCCAACACCAGCTTTTACTTTGATTTGAAATGACTTGGTGGCCTCATCATTCTGTGTCCTACCCCACACAAGGCACAGAGAGGAATAAGGCCCTCTTCCACCCTAAACCTAGCAAAGTCTTACTGCCAAGTAAGACATGTGTGGAAAGGACAACAAATATATAGCAGAGGGAAGACGAGAAGGTTTCACATGTTCTCTCCTGACCATATACAATGTTCCTGTATAGAGAGACAGATGCCCAGGTGGGATGGGAGATACTCACCATGGAATCCCCTGATATGTATACATCTAAGTTTTGGAGATAGAGGATGGACAACTAGATCCACCTGCACCCCTGATTTCCCTACCAAGAAGACATTCAAGCTAAAGAGAAGAGAAGGTAGAACAAAAAGAGTCACGGAATAGAAAGAGTTGGGGGCTTCAAGGAGGGAGAGCAAATTTGATGGGTTTTGAAGGATGAGTAGGAGTTTACCAGTTGGAGAAAGGACAGGAAAGGCATGTCAGCCAGAGGGAACAATAAGTAGGGAGGACTAGAGATGTCACAGGGAATGGTGTGTTTAAGACTAGAGAA